GTTTGAAGCGTTTTGCCGTTTGCGGCGCGTTTGCCCTTGTCGGCCACCATACTCTAAGTCTGAACCACTGCGCCAGAATATAAAAATACTAAACAGAGATTAGCACTAACTAGCATAAACTGTGAATGATGCATCTCCATCAGTATACATTTGAAAATAAACGCAGTGGTTTCACAGACTCCCACTCAAAGCGGAGGCTGGGGAAGGTGGGCCACCCTCCTCTGATTAGATTAAAACACTGTTTTTATGTCAATGTAATGACGTAAAGTCATCCCAAACACACTCTATGGATGGTGACAGGATCTAATGTTAATTAATGTTCTGTGTTATTTTACACCTCCAAAAAGTTCCCACACACAGTGCAGGTTCATGCAGAGAAATAGTTCAGAGTAAAACAGCCTCATGATAAATCCTCTGTTTCCTTGAATTTCTGTCAACTTTATAACAGTTTTTTAAGTTTGGTGCTTAATGATATCTACTGCAGTGACATTACTGCGCACATGAAAACATTTAAAATGACTGAAATCATCCTCTCTAATCATTATCATTATCATTAACACTCATAGGCTACATCAATACAACACAGAATGAATATAGAAAAGCTTGCACTGCTTGACAGAAGAGGCACAGGAATCATTTCTACTGGCAGAATGGATTGATATTATTTGTTCATTATGTTCATCTGTAGTTATTGATATTGTGATTATTAATTCATTATTAAATAACTCTAATAAGTCTTTTGCGTTTGTTGCAATTACAATAAATTATGTATTTAAGTATTTCTTGTCCAATTAAATAACTGATACCCACTAAGGGGCGCGTTGGTCAGTAAAAGACTTCTGTGAAGGCTGCTCTCGTGGATCCTCTCATAGCTCCTCAGAGATCGTCCTCGCTCCTCGGCGCAGAAATAAACACTTTGGGACAGCACAAATCTAATCGATATGTCTATCACTGCAGGGCTGTGTGATGTCAGTGTTCGACGTCAGTACCATTTCTTCTATAATCAGAAGAACATGACTGAAGCCCAGAGTTACTGCAGAGAACATTACACAGACCTGGCCACTACAGACAACATGGAGGACGTGAATACCCTGAACAACATGGCTGATTTAAGCCAAATGGTCTACTCTGTATACAGCTATGTGAGTTCACTTTTGTTCTTATTTCATTTCTTTTTGATAATTATGTAAATGACAGGCAGGTTGGTGGAAAGTAAGTTGATTAACAGCAAGTATAAATATTTTGAGGTTCTTGAGTATTTCCATACTTCTTCTCCACTACATTTCAGAAAACACTGTAAGCAGCACTTTAATGTTGTGTCTGATCAAACTGGGACTTTATATTTAACTATAGATATTTTTGGGTAGTTTAATCTCTAGAAAATAGACTTGAACAGCTGTAAATTCTTCCTTTATTTGAAACTCTTGTGAAAGTTGTGCCAAAGCCATTGTGAAATACTGAAATAAAGTCGTAGAGGATCAGACTGATGGGCATTATCGAGACTAGAAATGGAAAAATATTTAAAAGCTAGAGCAGGAGGAGCTTTATATCACAACAGAGGCTAAAGAAACCGACATAATTTCTTTCAGCGAGCCTGGATCGGGTTGTATGATGATGTGGACAGCTGGAGGTGGTCACTGTCAGACAGAAGTTTCTACGGACTCAAGGAGACTGAGTTCAGACTGTGGGAGCCTGGACAACCAAGCAATGTGTATGATCGACTCTGCACATATATACATCAGAATGGACTGTGGTACGACGGCCGTTGTGAACATTTATTGAAGTCGGTCTGCATGGATGTCAGAGGTGAGAATATCAACCAGTGAAGTTAAAAACATATTAGTTCAGTTTCTTTCTGCTTCTTTACCTGTTTCCGTTCATTATCTGGGACTATGAAGTGTTAGTTATTGTGTAGCACCTTTCATACAGTGCAAAGTGCTTTACAGATGACTTACATGCCAATAATAAGACAAATGTACAAATATAAACAGTAAAACAGAGAGTGATAATTGTGTAATGACACCAACAAAACTGTTCAACAGAGGAACTCAAAAGCATAACACAAACAAGGCTTTATTACAAAACTGGTAGGGGGAGGATGAGAAAGTGAGGAGAAGCTCTGGCTGGTGGTATTGTGTAGATAACGGCAGAGATCCAAGCAGAGTGGAGCGGAGGGTTGAGACAGTGTGGCTGAGCAGAAGCTGAATCTGTGGAGTGGAGAGGGTGGCAGACAAAGGAGAGGGTAGGCTGGAGTGCTGGTGATTATAAACTTCACAAGATGGCCGAGAGAGTTGATAGCAAACAGGCCGAAACGAGGATCTAGCGGAGAACGGATGAAGAACCAGGGTTGATATACTGCAGGGCTAAAGATGGGCTGGCAGGTGTGAGCAGTCAGACAGGTGAGCAGGCGATCAGGCCGTCAGGCAACCAGGGAGAGTGCCACACCCACAACACACAGACACAGAGAGAAAACAGGAACACCAGGGAGGGGAAAATACTAGAAACACTAGGAATGACTGAAGTATGGGACTGACCATAACAAAAATAGGGCAGGAGGATAACCTGGGGTCTCATTTATACAGGTTGCTACACATAAAATTTACCTAAATGGTGATGAAATGTGTGTATGCATATTTCCTCGCAAAATCTCGGGACTGTGCACTGTCCCCCCTGTGCCCCCCTCACCACCAACCACAGCCACACTTGAGATTGTGTCTTGATAAACTGGAACATAATACCTTGTGTTACAGACTCAGATGTACGCAGGAGAAGACTGCCAGAGTCAGACTGTTTCATAAATGATTATTTCTCACTAAAATAAGTGCTGGTTGTTCAATTACATAAATGCAATTTAAACACAGACTTATAACATGACTAATTCTTGAGACTTCCGCAAAGAAAACACCTGAGGATCCTCACTCATGGCTCCTCCGGCAAGCCCCCCTAATCATATACAGATTGGACACTTGTGTGTTTTGTTTATAAGTCTGGGAAAAATATATGAAATAAATTGCAGTATAAAATGAGTGTAGATTTTAAGCATATTTTTATTCATATACAGTGTTCATAAATACTCAATAACATTAATTAATATGATGTTTATATTTTTATTTGTACAAATTCATTAGTTTATTGACGTGGTTCCTCATATCTCTGTGGATTTATAATACCATGATTATTGCCACACATGGAGCATGGATGGCAAATTGTATGTTATGGTACCTCTGCCCAGCACTTCACTGTGGTCTCTTTCCAGGACTCAATGTGACATTTGTCCTCAACAACAATCTCATGACATACCCAGGCCAGAGCTACTGAGAGAGAACACAGACTGGCCAGTGTGAGGAAGCATGGACAGAGAACCAGAAGGTGAAGGAGCCTGGTTACCTTTAATAAGACATCTGGATCGGCTTTACAGGGACTCCTGGAAGTGGTCGATGGAAGTAATCTATTCAGATGGAGAAAGGAAAATGATTCATAACGAGCCATTGTGTGGCTGCATATGAGGTTTTTATGGCAGTTGACTCTGCCCCTGTGACGCGTGTTTTCTATTCCTGTGTTATGGGCTGCCTGCATGGTGACAGCTCACCACTCTATCTTGGTCTTCTGACATCATTTGGTAGAGAAGTTCATGCTGACATGAAAGCTGTCATAAAAAATAATACAGACGCCCCCTGCTTTCTGTCCTTGCATTCAATCTGGTATTTCTTTTTCCCTGGTCTGTCCTCAAAGCCTGTCTGTTTTGGCCACTTTGCTCTCTCTTGCTCTCTTTCTCACCAAAATTTAAATTGTGCTCTGTCACACAGCTTTGTTACCAAAGTATGTTACAATGCTTACAAATGTTGGGATTGGCTATAAATAAGGAAAGCTGGCATCCAGCAAGCTTAGGCAGGCAACAACCATCTATAATATTCAGCAGCACATGATGCC